TTGTCTTGATCAACTGCAGAAACTTTGTATTCCTTTCGGTTGCAGGGAGTGAGGGCAGGTCCTGCCACGCAAAGTCGAGTAAGAAGTGGCAGAACGATTGTGATTCGGAAGTAGAAGTCCTGTTTCAGACTTGTATGTACCCATTCTTATTCGCTTGGAGAGGTTTCGAAGAGTCATGAGTAATCTCAAAACAGCCGATACCCTCACACTCACTCACACTCGTTAACGCTGATTCTGCTCTCCTGATGACTGTCTATCTGTCTGTCTGTCTGTCTGCCTATTTATGTCAGTCTGTCTATCCAGCCACCCATGGCTCTACAGCCCTTCTACTGATGACATGCTAGAAAAAAATAAGAAGTATTTATGAATTAATTAACGATACACCATTGTCTATCCTTCCTGCATTTGTCTTATGGCTCCATTTTAATGCCATTTGGAACACATAACTGTCGTGGTTTATTTGCTGGCACTACCTAGGAGGTCAAAGGAATATCATGGAATAGTCTGTTAGTAAAGTTTGTGGCCAAGTAGAGATTTGAATCGGATACTTCTTGAATACATGTGCGATAAGCCACTCTGACTGCAGCACCCTCATTCTAATTATGACCAGTCTGTACGTTTCGCTATATAAGGTATATTGAATTTTGCCGTATCACCATTACAGCGCACAACGCGCACATAATTGCATCAATCAATTTTAAATCAATGAACTATTAATCAAATCAATTACGCAGTATGAGAGTTACTGAACTCTGCTGTAAGTCACACATTGTGGATGACAGCTACATCACCAGCCTCCCCCTCCAAATGAGTTCTGAACAGACATCCTCGCAGCTGCAGTGATGTCAAGTTTTATCTTCTGCCACAAAATTTTACCCGTTGAATGTTCTGACGCAAGAATGCAGGAAGCGAAGAGCCTTCCATTTTATTTCGCTAATAAAATAAAGGCCAATATACGTTCGCTTAATGTGAAATAGCTTCATAATAAAATGAACACATCGGGGTCGTTTAATGTTGAAACGAACATGGACATGACAGCAGCAGACATTAAATACTGTGGTTAAAATTTATTGGTCCCTTCTCTGTGCAAAATAATTCTTCAGACGCTAACAAATTTCAGTATAATGGACGACATATCTATACATATTATGTTATAATTGTTTGGGTACTACGACGTACAGACAAGGAGTGAATAAAGTAAACACTAGTTCATAATGTTTGCAGTCGGCCTTTGAGCATACTGGTTTTTTTTTTCTTGGGGTGGCGTGAGACTGAGCCCACTTGGTACGTCGGCCACTAATTGGCATATTGTACCAGCCCCGAATGATAGATGATAAGATGTGGAGCAGTCTGTGGAATGAGAATTGGCAGGAGAAACCGAAGTACTCGGAGAAATCCTGTCCCAATGCCACTTTCTCTACAACAAATTCCTCATTACCTTACCCGGGCTCGAACCCGGATCGCCGCTGTGGAAAGTCGGACGACTAACCACCTGAGCTATGGCACCGCCCATTTTCTATCTATTTATCTATCTATTTGTCTACCTATCTGTCTGTCTGTCTATCTATCTATCTATGGCTCTCTACAGTCGGTAGGTCTCCTTGGACGGGGATCGGTCCGTCGCAAGGCCGGTGCCTACACACTCTGCTTATTCTGAATGAGTAATAAAGCTTGACCTTAGTTGGTTTCCGAGAGGCATCCAACAGACATGTTGCAGTTCTGTTTTCTCTTCTTTGTAACAAGTAAGCGTAATAGGCCTACACAATGTTAGAATTGTCAATAATTTGGAAACGCGTGCACGTTACAAGAGATTGTGTACCTTTCAAAATGATGGAACCAGAAGGATCTAGGAACTCACCAGTTTCCGAAGCAACCTTTGACGACTGTTTTATCTAAAGCTGACCAAAATGCAGAAGCATCGCGTGTAGAATACATATTTCAACTTGGTTGAAGCATTTTCGAACAAATTAAAATATTTTGCGAATATAAATATTTTGGACCCGGATCAGTATGTCTGTTGTCAATCAATAAATAATAAATTGAACGTGACGATAACATCTTCTCAGCTCGAAGCAACAGCTGTCTGTAGAATGACAAGGAATTCCATGTTATTAATGTCGTCACACCAGAGATTAAACGAAGCACTGTTTTCACGTCCTAGAACTATATACAGAAATTTACTTAGTTATGGAGCTGAGTCCTCTTGAGGAGCCGCTAAATCTGCAGCTACTCAAGAATTTCCCAGCATTTTATGGAACCCGAAGGTTAATTACCGTGTTCACAAAAGCCCTCCACAGGTCCCTATCCTGAACCAGATCAATCTAATCCATACCAACCCATCCTATCTCTGTATGATCCAGTTTAGTATTGTCCACCCACCTACGCCTTGGTCTTCCCAGTGGTCTCCTTTCTTCTGGCTTTCCCACCAATAACCTATACGCATTCATCTTCTCCAAAATTCTTGCTACATGCACTGCCCACCTCATCCTGCCTGACTTGATCATTTTAATTGTACTTGGAGAAGAGTACAAGTTATGAACATATACATAATTTTTTTCCTTGACACTACAGCCCCAGTGGGCCTAGACCTACCTCCATGAACTTCTCCGTTCAGTTCGGTTTTTCTAGATCTTACACATTCGGTAGGACTCCTTGGGCGCGTGATCAGCTCGTCGCAAGGCCTCTACCTGTACACACACACACACAGAAAAACCCACACACACAAACTAAACATCCATGCCCTGAGTGGGATTCGAACCTACGATCCCGGTTTCCAAGCGAACGAAGACAGTACATGCCTTAGACCGCTCGGCTACCGTGACCGGCCATACATAAATTAGTGCTACAAATTCTTTGTCTTGTATACTCATGGCGTAATTGCTACACTTTGGTGAGGAAAGTGTTTAAACCAAATTTTCTGCAATTTGAAATTACATATCCTTTTTAATTAAAATTAAATATATGTATTTTCAAACATCACTTTTAATATCGTTTTGATTTTCTCGCTACAGTTAGCCGACATTTTCTGTTCTCGTAATAGAGCTTACACTTCTAAATTCTGATATTTAAATACTGCTTCTCTTCTGTGTTTGCGTTCTGGACATGTCTCACTATTCAACGCAGCCACAGAGTATCCCTAGTTGCAGATAGCCCGATCGCATAGTAACGAAGCCATGTCTCGTAATCTCCCTCATTAATGAGCAGAAGGCTTTACTCTGAAACGGCAATCAAACGCTGCATCGAATGGCGTCCACGGTATGCAAGTAGTTCCCCACCTCACATCCCTTTTAAATGTCTGTTTATATTCAGACGTAACTTTGATAATGGCGTTTGTGTCAAGGGCCACATTGTACATGAGAATCGCAAAGTTTTCAGCCTGTACATTCTATTTTCATCTGCATGGAATCCAAACGTCATAACTTTGGTAGATAAAATGAAGGAGTTGAAAATCGTGTTCTGTTCTGGTATGTGCAGTGACAGTCGATAGGTTCATTAACATTGTGTGAGGCGGGACTAACAAATTGAGTTCTCCATGGAACTGGGAATGAAAGTAGAACTCGTGTTATGCAGACAGAACAATAATTGGATAAGAGAACTTACATTATTTCCGTTTCATTTATAATATGACGTATACAGTGTTAAGAGTTGAGGTAGTTATCTGAGTAAATTTGAAGTACGTATGTTCATTTTCCCGATGTACCGTCTACATTAGAACAAGATGCGAATTACCATCTGAGTGCGAGAGTATAACCAGTTTATCTCCTTGTATTGAGTTTATGTGAGTAAAATCCCAATATGTTTCGGTCTTTTTTTTTTCAGTGACTCTTCCAGCCCGTTGAGGGCCCTGGCCTCATATTCAGTTCCATAATCATTTTTCGAGATAGTAGGACTCCTTGAACAGGAGATCAGCTCGTCTCAAGACCTCTTCCTAAACACAGGATAACACAAACACAGAATAAACGCATACACACACCAAACATACATGCCTTAAGTGGGATTAGAACTCATGATCACAGCGTCCGAGCGAGCGAAGACAATTCATGCCTTAGACCAAGCGGCTACTGTGACCGGCTGTTTCGGTCATACAAAACCTTATTCAGCATATGTTCCATATTAAAGGGTAACTATTCACTTACAAAGGATCACATCGAAATAGCGAGCCCCACATCTTCGGCACTTAAAAAAACAAATTCTACAGCAACATACAGCTGAGCACAACACAAGATAATCACTCGAACTACTGTTGCCTCGATCTGTATGCATATATGTATACATTTTAATATAATATTGGTTTTAACTTTTTGTGAGAATTATATAACTCTGGTATTTTAAAATCCTTTATTTTTATTCGTGATTTGTAAATTTTATCTCTGTTAGGGTACATCCCTTGAGTTTGGTCCTGTGTGACCGAAACATGTCGGGAGTTTAACAACATGTATTCAATAGACTAGACACATTTAGATGATAATTTGCCTCTTGTTTACTTATATAGACTTCAGGTGTCTGTAAATTTATTGTTAAACACCAGCGTATCGCTACAGTGTACAGTTTCTATTTTAAATGAAGCTATCAGGATACTAAATACCAGTTGCCTAGTTAAAGTAGACGGTCCAGTACGGTCCATTGCCCCGAAAGTCGAATATAACATTTATGTTCCATGTTACACAAAAATTACTCTCGTAGATGTTCATTTCTCAGAGGTCTATCGCATTGCATTTTACAGCACTATGCAGAACGATACCAGGCCGTGTCGCCTCCAACTCAGAAATCCACAGGCGGACATACCACTAACTTTAATGGTGCAGAATTAAACGACCTCCAACAGAGTTTCATACAATCAATGAGTTGCTTCAAGTAAGAGACATGAGATGGAGATGTGATTGTGTCCTGGGGCATACAATGCTCGAAGAACAAGACCTGACATACCGTCGGCTGCAGTTCATGTATGGTGACATTATATGAGGTCCCGTCCTAATGACATTTCGTTCTTTCTGTTCCAGAGCAATGACAGCTGGCAGGGGCATGACAGTGATCAGGTAAGCTCAAGCACAGATTACTGGAACGTGTGAAAATGACCCGGCGCTCGGAAACTTGCGTGTCCAGCCATATTTCACACAATCCGGTTATGCCATGTATTTCCGAGCGCTAATCCTGCTGCGTGACTGTTCCAGCTGTAACGATCTCACCATGCCCTAGTGTTAATTGGACTGCAGCCGTTGCAGAGCCTTACAGTAGGCGGACATGTTGGCTGAGAGGTTGTTAGCAGTGTGCGCTGTTCGATTGGTACTAATTAATTCCGCGAAGCTGAGTCCATTCAGCCATTTAAGAAATTCTCCAACTTTTATGGAATCCAGTGATTCATTACTGTGTTCACAAGAGCTTGCCTCTGGTCCCCATCCTGAGCCAGGCGAATCCAGTCAGAACCCATACACATCATCTTAATATTGGCTTCCTGATGGCACCTAAAACTTCCAAATGTCTCTTGTCTTCAGGATTTCCGACAAAAAATCCACTTCCATCTCTCATCTGTCCCGTATGTTCATAACACTCATTTCAGTTCATCCCCTTAATAATACACGGCACGTGGTTGTGTAGTTGGTTGAGGCACTATGCTACAAGCCGGAAGGCCGCTGGTTTGATTCCCGATGAGGTGGATTTTTTCAGTTTACCTAATTCTTCCAGCCGCACTATGGCCCTGGGGTCGAATCAGTCTCTGACAGAAATGAGTACCAGGAATCTTCCTGAGGGGTGAAAGGCGGTCGGCGCGTAAGGCTGGCAACCTTATCGCCATCTATGAGCCGATTGTCTAGATAATGTGGGACTCTCAACGTCTCACAACCCTATGGGCCTCCATGGCCTGTTACAGGGATAGCTTTGCGTTTATCTTAATAATATTTCACGATGAATACAGGCGTTGAAGCTTAGTTATGCACTTTTCTCGTGTCTCTTTTCACTCCTTCTCTCTGTGGTTCACACATGTCTTTATTCCTACTATGACTTTAATACCGAAAATGTGAAATCTGAAAACATGGTGTTTAACCGTTGAGGTATCAAAATTGACTTGTGAAAAGGGGCATGATTCTGTCGTATTAATAGCACAGTAACATAAGGCTTTGTGTTTCATGTGAGCCAAAGGCCGCGCCATAGCTCGAGCGGTTAGACGCAGGCTTCCCACAGCGATGGCCCGGGGTCTGGTCAAGTGGGATTTGTGGTGGACAAAGTGGCGCTGGGGCAGGTTTTCTCCGAGTACTTCGGTTTCCCCTGCCAATCTTCATAACACCAAATTCTCCATTATCATAATCATCCGGGCAGGTATAATAGGCCAATCAGTGGCCGACGTGCCAAGTGGACCCAGCTGGACTCCACCCCCCCCCATATGCGAATTAAGAAAAATATTGTTTTTTCATTTGAGCCACAGTCTAATTCTATAGGCCGTAGCTGTGAAGAGTGCCATCTATTGACGTACTCGTAAATTTACTGAAAGACAACAGTATATTACCTATGATGACACAATTAATATATGTTCTAATAAAAAGTAAGCGTTCATCTCGTAGTATAAGTGACAAGCACTTAATTATACTTAGTAGTCGTAAAATGCAATCAATTTATGTTCGGATTTTGTTGAAGTCGTGGTGCAATGTATGTTCATTCTACACTATGCTACTATTTTGTGTCAGATCAACGTTTCATTGAAGCAAAAGAAAAGAATAAGTCTGCTGCCATTTATTATATTTTTATTAGATTAATTATTTAATTTGAACTCACTAATTCCGGAGAATTAGTTGTCATTCGTCCCCGTTATTAGATATAGAAATCTACCATTTATAAGGAAATATGCGTACAAAACCTCTTTAGAAATTCACTGAGCACTTTTCGGTTTCCTGCATCAGAAATGAATATGGGGACCAGAGGCATAAGCAAATTGACCTCCCACCCCAAAAAGGAAACCATTTCGTCAGCAGTAATATGTACATAGCCGGTCACGGTAGCTGAGCGGTCTAAGGCTCGCTGAGAAGCCGGGTTCTTGGGTTCGAATCCCACACAAAACATGGATGTTTGGTATGTGTATGTGTTTATTCTGTATTTATGTTGTCCTGTGTTTAGGTAGAGGCCTTGCAACGAGCTGATAACTCGCCCAAGGAATCCTACTGCATGTAAAATGTCCATGAAACCGAAAATCAGAAGCCAGGGCCCAAACGGGCTGTAGAGCCAGTGAAGAAGAAAAATATGTACGTATGTGCGCTCACTTTATGCGGCGCTGGATGTTATTTTCCGTGGGTGAATGACCGGTATCTTAAGAATAAAAAAACTATATCAAGTGCATTTTTAGTCAGATTTTATTTAATTGTACGATCTGCCACATGCCACAGCCACAGTCTGCCTCTCACTCGCTCAGTTATATATGAGGTTTAATTTCCTGAATTTTATCACCGTAAGGGTTTACTTTGTCACCGTTATTTTTTTCTAAACATTCAATACCTCGCCGCTATCCTCACTAAACGAGTTTCACAACAGAAGTAATTTACGAATTTATGGGTTTGCACGGCGCCAGAAAACTTTTATTACTTCTGACTGTAAGCGTACTCTTGGGACGCTCTGACAAGCAGTAAGCATGTTATCATAGCTGATTTGATATAAATAGTATGATTAATTTTTGACCATTATTATTTGAATGGAATCGATACGAGTGACCATACAGGGCAGTCGAGAGTAAGTGTCCGTTAAGACACTGTTTACAGGAAAGCTTCAACAGTTTTAATCATGTGGACTTAATGATGATTCAAAACTTCGTAGATTTTTTAAAAAAGTCAAATCAATTGACACACATGTGATTGGAAGGGTTAACTCAGCTGGTAATAGCGCTTCTCTTTTTAGATGACAGGAGTTCCACTTTCGAATCCCATCCTGATCCAATTCAGAATATTGTGACGTATAGACTCGTTGCTTGACAATGACTTGCTAAACACATTCCCGCGGAAGTCTACGCGTGTAACCACAGAATATCCAATGGTAGGCATCGGATCAGTAAACAAGCCTTTTCAACAATATAGAGCCTGTATTTTCTGCGTGGTCCGTGTCGGAGGTTTATAAATGGACAAAAAGTTCATTTGAGCGAGTTGTCGAGACTTGGATCGAGTTCTGGAGATGGCAGTCGAAGGTGATTGACAAAAAGTGGCAAGAAAGGAATTAGGTTGTGCAAATAAGACTTCATGTGTGATTTGAAGTTACAGTGAGACGGTTATAATTCCGTTGCCAGGTTACGACTAGTGAAGACAGAATTCTAATGCGTGTGTAACGGTGAACTACAAATAGTAATAGCGTTGTATTGCCTGTAGTCCCAAGTTGTGAATATATACGGTGCAATAAATCTATTCAATCGAAACCCCGTCTTATAAGTCACGCACAAACCCCTACACGTGACAATATGCTTTGGTATATCAGTTCGTCAGAAACTTTCGGAACCTTCGAGCCTGTACTTTAGTAAATATCATATCGAAATACATTTTATTTTGGTTCTTTAGAACTATATCGCAGAAATACATGTCTTAGGTCCACGGTTCATAATTTTGCTCACATGGATAGAGCGTCCCGGAACTCATGAAATGATATAGAGAGGAGGTAAGCGAGTGTGGAAGGTGGTAGGAAGAGGACTCATTCGGTTCTCGAGGACTCCTCTGAGCCCATCTTGAAACGCACCACCGTGAAATTGAAAACCGACGCAACGATGAGGACTTGCTCACACCGGGAATATCGATATATACATACGTTTTGTCGATAAGCATTTCTTTCGCAGTCAGCTTTCCATTTCTAGAACAAAAGGGACAGTGAAATGAGAGTCCTCATTGTGCATTATTTGTTTCCTTTTGTGAAGCGCTTGACGTACTACATATGAGGGTTCGAAATACATGTATATGAGCAATTTATCAGCTTCACCATCAAATAGGAAGAGATAATGATACCGTATTTGATCTCATTTCTCTGTCCTAGGTTCTTTGTCTCTCAAAACGAATGCGAATATATTCGGTGAGTGATATCTGAATTTCTTCGAAGTTGAGTCTGAAATAAAATAAGTTATTTATTCACACTTCTTAGGAAATATTTAATTGCGTCGTAACTGCCAGTCACGGTAGACGAGTAATCTATTATTATTATTATTATTATTATTATAGGGGGTGGGTTTCCCCATGCACTTAGACCAGTTATTGGTCCTTTGTGCGTCCCCATTTAATTTCTACTGTCCCCATACCCTACCGGTACTGGTGCGTGCTATCAGCCCCGTTCAGCCAACGAGGTCGGACGTCGGTACCTGATATTTCCCCCATCTACCAGAGGCATTGGAAACTACTTGGGCTGGAAACTTGTTACCTAATTTTGCTCAGAGGTCTCCTAGAGACATGAGGATCTTTTACGTGCCGTAAATCTACGACACGGGACCCACGGCATAAAGTCCCTCCCGGAGGACTTGTTCCCTGAATTTTTCCGCCCTTAAAAATTCCACGACCTCTACGTCATGACCTGTCTTCGCTCGCTCGGAAGCCGGGATCGTGAGTTCGAATCCCACGCAAGGCATGGATGTTGGGGGTGTGTATGTGTTTATTCTGTGTTTGTGCTGTCCTGTGTTTATGCAGAGGCCTTGCGACGAGCTAATCACTTGTCCAAGAGTCCTACCGTCGTCTGCAAAATGATCAAAATGAAAAACAACCTCGATACCTAAGGTATAAAAGGAACGGATTAAGTAAGTAAGTAAGTTAGTCTACTGTACGAACTATACTGTAGAACTACCTATTTCGGGTCTGTTTATTTGGTCAGATCGTAACTTATTCGGCCTGTCAACGTCTCTTCTTCCAGGCTAGTTTCAGGATTGGTCTACGCGGTCCCGTTCACGTTCTCATGCACGTATGTACATGAGGAAGTTTTGTGAACATGAATAACTTGATCTCGAGTTTTCGACGGGTTTACACATTTTGAGCACCCCTAAATACAAGAAAAGTAGTTTTGGAGGGAGGAGGGATGCCGTAGGTTTGTGCGCCTTATT